ACAGGAGGTAGTGGTTTCACCTTATTTTTGGGTCTATATTCACTAAGAATGCTGTAATGTGTGGAATTGCTGCCTGTTTGTAGCTGTTCCAGAATTCAAGCTAATATAGTATTTAAAATCTAGATGTTAGATTTGTAAAATAAGTACTCCTTGTGTGGTTGGAGCGCTCTGGAGAACCAGACTGTCAGTAAACACTGCAGTCTAACAAAGATGCCGGAGAAGCGAAGGATATAGTAACAGGTGCCTAAAATAAGCTAATAGCTCTCACTTGCAGCAAACTCCAAGGACTCTGTCTGGCTACATCAACTGTGATAGAAATGGATTATATGAATTATGTTTGAAAGCTGCAATGAACAATGTGCCATTTTTTACAGGCCTTAATATTGCAGTAAGAATCACTGTAGCAGAGGAGGGAATAACTGAACATCTGGTTGTAAAGAACTGCCCGAATATTACAGCAGCGTCTTCAGTTGCCCAGTAAGTCACTGCGTCCACTGCATTCACTGTGTCCTCTAACAAAATGTGCATGTCCATGCACTCAGTAACCCCCTGTATACTCTACACAGGTGTTATGCGTGTGTCACAAGTGGTTGTACCTGGTCTAATTCACAAACCTGTTCCTGGCCTAATGGGAAGTTACATCAAGCTCAGGCAGAGGTAAGATCCGGAGCGTCACCTAGAAATATCCAGGAGGTCAGTTTATAAGCAGAACATCCTTTGTCTTGATCCTTAATCACATCACATCAAGTCCACTCGTTTTTGTTCTCAGTAATGTTAGTCTGCCCAGGGTGGGGGGGCAGCCAGTTGAAAATGTTTTTTCTCCTTACTTGGGAGTTTTTGGTTCCTCTCCTCCCTTGTCATCTGGCTTTCTTTATTTCCTTCCTTCATTTTTCTCATTCTGTATCACTCTCTCTAATGATGTTTCATGTATCACAATACATCCATGAAAAGCACCTTGGGACGACTCTGTTGTGAAAGGCGCTATATAAAAATTAATTGAATTGAAATTGAATTGAACCTCCCCTCCAAATTAGTGATTTTCAGTTGGTGGTTCATTCTTATTCACTTTGGTGGCAGAACCAACCCACTGGATTGTGCCAAATTAGTTTTTTTTTTGCTTTCGCAGGATGTCTGTAAAGACGTCGCCCCTCCTTCGAACTATTCAGTAAGTCAGTTATTTTCCTTGTCCGTCAGTAAATTTGATGTCTGTCCATCATTCATTCTCTTCTGCTCTTTGCATGAGTAGGATCATGGTTGAAATGGAACATGAGGCTGCAATTAATTCAAAATTAACCAATTTAAACTCAAGAACTAGTTAAATGACCTGAACAAATGGGTTTCAGAACCTCTAACACTGGTGCTTCAGTGAATCCCAAGATTCACCCAAAGTCGTCCTTTGCTGAAAATATGGTAGAAATACCTATACATTTATGTCTTACTTTATTTTTTTCTGGGAAAGAACAAAAAGATAATAAAACATATAAAGAAATAAAATCTAAATTTTTAAGCTTTAGCTTCCTAGTGGTAAAATGGTTCATTCCATAGTTAATTTGTCGTCATGTTTTGGAATGATGTTATTAAATAACACCTGTGAAGCATGTTCCTGCACTCTAAGCAATGCATGCTGTTGTACAGGCGCTAGGGACAGATTACATTCTCCACTGAATCAGGTCTGTATATATTTTATTTCTTCCAGGAGCCAGAAGTGCACTCTGTTATTCCGAGTGTCGTCTCCTTTCACGGCAAAAACGATGTTAAGATGTTGGGGAAGAACCTTGATCACGTAACAAAGATACGTCTTCAGGGGACAGTGGAATGCTACTCTGAGGAGTGAGTTTGTCATCATACAGAAATTCCTGTGGATTTCTGGCTAATTTTCTCAGTAAAGCCCATTTATGACTTTCATGAGTTACTTATCGTTTTTATTGTCATACTGGTGACCATCAGATCACGATGGAACATAGTCCATCCCTTAGTTTCTAGAGTTTTCCAGAATCTGCTCAGTTTGTGAGACATCTCGTTACCATAGTCACAGATGATCATTGACCTCTTGCCCATGGTTTGGGTGACCTTTCCCTGTGACCTTGGAGTTGTGTGTGCAGATTGCAGGTATTGGCCCAGACGGCACACAGCCTACGGTTTAACCTTCCCGGCTGGAAGGTTGATATGATGACCGTTTGCGCATTGTTGCCCGACGGAAGGTGTGTTGGCTCACAGCCAGTCATGTACAGACCCCTGCCACACTGTACTGCCATTTCTCCCAGCAACACCTGGGCCAGGTGAGTCTCCTTTGTGACCACATGGGCCTGCTATGAGTTCAGATTGTTGATAGGCTGAAAACTTCCAGTCAGTCCCTCCTCCACAGAAGTCAGCAATTTGATTAGTGGGTTTGAATGCCAATACTCACTTTCTGCCAGAAACTCCCAATGAACTCCCTCAGATGGATGGTTTGAACACTCCCCTCATGCACAGCACACTAACCCACTGAGACATGGCTGTATACTGTATGAAAATCCGACAGCCCTTCAGCT